TTTTTTTTTTGAGACAGAGTCTTGTTTTGTTGCCAGGCGCCAGGCTGGAGTGCAGTGGCGCAATCTCGGCTCACTGCAACCTCTCCCTCCCGGGTTCAAATAATTCCCCTGCCCCAGCCTTCCTGAGGAGCTGGGACTACAGGCGTGTGCCACCACACCCAGCTCATTTTTTTTTTTGTCGTTCAGTAGAGACGGGGTTTCATCATGTTGGCCAGGATGGTCTCGATCTCTTGACCTCATGATCCGCCTGCCTTGGCCTCCCAAAATGCTGGGATTACAGGCATGAGCCACTGTGCCTGGCTGTACACAGATCTTATATGCTTATCTAGAATACTAGTTTTTCTCCTAGATTAAAAACAAATCACTTTTCCTGTGGTTTACCTCCAAGAATTTATTTCACCTTAGCAGATGGAAACAAAGTGTTTTGCTGGATTAGAAAGACCCTAAAATGGATACAGATGAATATATATATATGTATTCCAATCTTCACTTTTTTTTTTTTTTTTTTTTGAGACAGAGTCTTGCTCTGTTGCCCAGGCTGGAGTGCAGTGGCACAATCTTGGCTCACTATAACCTCTGCCTCCTGGGTTCAAGCAATTCTCCTGCCTCAGCCTCCCGAGTAGCTGGGATTATAGGCACGCACCACCATGCCTGGCTAACTTTTGTATTTTTAGTAGAGACGGGGTTTCTCCAGGTTGGCCAGGCTGGTCTTGAACTCCTGACCTCAGGTGATCCACCCATCTCGGCCTCCCAAAGTGCTGGGATTACTGGCGTGAGCCACTGCACCTGGCCTCCAATCTTGACATTTATATTCTGAATTATACATTACATTATGTACATATGATAACAAGTTGCTTAAAATTTTTTTTTAGTTTATTTTTCTGAGATGGAGTCTTGCTCTATTGCTCAGGCTGGAGTGCAGCTGTGCGATCTCAGCTCACTACAATCTCTGCCTCCTGGGTTCAAGTGATTCTCCTGCCGCAGCCTCCTGAGTAGCTGGGATTATAGGTGCGTGCCACCATGCCTGGCTAATTTTTGGATTTTTAGTAGAGATGGGGTTTCACCATGTTGGTCAGGTTAGTCTTGAACTCCTGATCTTGTGATCTGCCTGCCTTGGCCTCCCAAAGTGCTGGGATTACAGGCATGAGCCACCGCGCCCAGCCTGTTTAGATAGTTTAATAAATAATATCTAATATACGGTTTGTATTCTATACTTTTAGTTTAACTATGATTTCGTATGCGTCATTGCATTGGATGTAACATACCTTGGTATAAATACAAGCACACCATTTGTTCGAATTGAATAAATAACTCCATCAGATATGCAACGCTCCTCGGTGTCAGGGTCTTTGTCTTTGAAGTACATGCACTGGAAGAGCTCAGTAGACTGCTTCTGAGAATGCTGTGCTGCCTATAAGAAGCACAACTCCAAAGCATTATAACACTCCCCTGGCATTTCCCCAAGAAAAGAAATTCATATTCATTCAAAGGTGAGATTCTGTAAAACTGTTAGTATGAAAATTGTTCTCTGTTGTGTAATTTTTGTGAGAACTTAACCATCTAGTATTATCTCCTCAAAATGTCTTAGAAAATGAATTATTTAGGCCGGGCGCGGTGGCTCACGCCTGTAATCCCAGCACTTTGGGAGGCCGAGGCGGGTGGATCACGAGGTCAAGAGATCGAGACCATCCTGGTCAAC